AGATGTGTAGAAAGTGTTGTTTGACCAAATGTTTGGTTTCTGTAGGTTAATCCTGAAGTGAGCTGTGTGAAATTGATGTATTTGTGCATAAACAACTGTCTAGGGTACACTTTTTTGCTTGTTTAATTGATTTGTAAAAGTTGATTTGTTTAATTGATGAGGAAATAAGAATTATTTTTTGCTTGTTTAATTGATTTGTAAAAGTTGATTTATTTAATTGATGTGTAAATAATTCTTATTTTTTGCTTGTTTAATTGATTTGTAAAAGTTGATTTGTTGTTTTAAATTTCATTCTGTATTATGTTGAAGGCAAAAAAAACATGTTGAAGGTACACTTTCACAACGCGAAAGTCAAATTCGTTGTGAAAGTCAAATTCGCGTTGCGATTTTCGCGTTTCAAATTTGACTTTCGCAACAATCGCAACAAAAAATCACAACGTGAATTTGACTTTCGCTTTGCAAATTCAAGGAAAACACCTTTAAAAAGATAACAGACAATAATCTGATAAGTGATAACAACTGAACAGATCATAGCAATGTTCAAACTCAAGTTAATAATGAATGTCTAACTTAAATGTATGCATTCACACATAAAATACACATAATACAATGTTTGCATTTAAAAATCACCTAAGTTAATAAGTCCCAAAAGGTGAAGCCGGTTATGATTGGGATTTTGATTTTGATTGCGATTCTGATTTCCTTTTGCTTGGCACCACATGAGCTTTGGATTTTGATGAGGATCCATATTTTGGTAGAGGAAAAGATGATTGTGATGGCACTGGTGATCCACAGGTCAACCTTGTATGACCACTTTCCTTGCACCGACTACATGTCGATATCCTCTTCTCTTCATCCTTAGACGGTATACGATCGTGATTTTTTGGTCGGCCAGGTAGCCTGTTGTCCATGACTGGTGGCAAAACTGTTTGTAAGTCATATGGTATGTCCCACTCAGAAGGATATGGAATAGGGTAGACAATCTCGGCATAAGTATGTCGATATACTTCTGTAGTGTAGCAATCCATAGCGTATGCGCTTGAATCATCTTGGTTTATATGAAGAGCAACTTTTATAACATGACCAAACGGATAACCAGATGTTTTCCATTTCATACAACTACACGTCTTTGCATTTAGATCGACAATCCCATTTAAGTTATTATCCAATACTTCAAACAAAGTGTTTGAACATAGTTCAACTCTCTATGACGTTGACTTCACAACACGTTTCGTTATCTTTTTTTTTCAGTCCATGGTGTAACACGACGTTCCAATGTTCTTGTAAATTTAAATAAATAATACTTAGTAAAATATATGATAAGTTACGAATTTAAAGAAATAATACATGCATGGTTTCTTTTCTTGTAGTACCACTGTTGAATAGAGGCTCGAAAAAACTTCATTAACATAGTAGTGGGTAATTTCCGGGAATAACGACTTAGAGCGTTGATTGATTCTGCATTATTAGACGTCATGAAATCATATCTTGCTCCAAGTTGATGTACTTTTGACCATCTTTCAAACCCGACATCTTCTAGTGTTTGAGCACATTGAGGCAAAACACGTCTTAAACAATTTATATGCTTATTAAAATCCACTTCCCGATAAGCTTTTACAGCCTTCCAGTATGTCCATTTGTGATTTTTTATACCAACAGACCTTGATTTTAGATTTCTGTACAAATGAACACCACAAAGTCCATGAAAAGCATTTGGGAAACACCTTCAACATCATTGTCAATTGAGTTTACCATATCGGATATGATTGTCAGATTGCTAATAGGACCTATGCAATCCCTAAGATGCCCCATAAACCATGTCCATAGGCAAAACACGTCTTAAACAATTTATATGCTTATTAAAAATCCACTCCCGATAAGCTTTTACAGCCTTCCAGTATGTCCATTTGTGATTTTTATACCAACAGACCTGATTTAGATTTCTGTACAAATGAACACCACAAAGTCCATGAAAAGCATTTGGGAAACACCTTCAACATCATTGTCAATTGAGTTTACCATATCGGATATGATTGTCAGATTGCTAATAGGACCTATGCAATCCCTAAGATGCCCCATAAACCATGTCCATGAATCAAATATTTCAGATTTGCCAACCCCGTAAGCTATTGGAAGTATCTCATTATTAGCATCCATGGCTACTGCTAATAAGTTTACTCCAAGGTATCGACCTTTCAAATGTGCTCCCGTCAACTATAATAACTGGGTGCATGCAAGTAATAAACGAACGAATTTACAAAATAATATACACAAGACATAATCATTTAAATGTGAAATGCATGCAACTAACAAAAATGAGTCAACAAAATTATATTGATTTACTAACCGCAGCACCAATGGCGATAAACAGCAACTCAAAGCGTCCATCTCTATCTGTTTTGATATGAGTTACCGACCCAGGATTTTTCAGCTTTAAATTGTGACAATAAGCCGACAGTTGGGCAAACAATGCTTCTGGAGACCCCTTCAACAATTCCAAGGCATAACATTTGGCTCTCCAAGATTGAGAATATGAGATACTAATCTTGAACCGAGCATTCATGTCAGTCATAATTTCATGTCCCCGATATACCCTGCCATTAAAAAACATTAACTCAGCCAGAAAACCACCCAACACCTTTTTGTTTGCATGTCTATGGTGAGGAAAAACTTGGGTTCTTGAACATGTATGTTTATCAATAAAAGTCCTAACTTGAAACATTTCGCAATCTTTTATCCTCTTTGCAATCATACGCCACATACAGTTTTTGTCAATCATACACTTTGTTTCGAAACAATATTTGCTTGATTTGTTAACTTTTAGTTGATAGCCATCTTCCACACATTTCGTATACAAAGCTATCTTCAAGTCTTCCTTTGTATCAAAACAATCATCTTTCTTGATACGAATAACTTTTGTGTAACAATCAACTGCTATCTTTACCAACTCTTCTTCTGGTATCTGAAGTAATTCTGGCATATTCCAGTTATACTTCCATTGCATTTTCTTCTTTTTCTTTTCTTCGGGGACTTCTTCTTCTTATTCTTCTTCTTTTTTAGGGTTATATGAATTACAGAATGGATGTTCAACATGTTCATTCACAGCCGTAACTTCCTCCTCATTATTATCAACAACATCTTCCTCGGCAGCGGCTGTTTCATCATCAAAATTCGGGTATTGACCAATATCAAAATCATTACACGCATGGTCTGTTTCTTCTTCTGAAACATCATCAAAATCCGAGTATTGACCAAGATCAAAGTCCGGGTATTGACCAAGATCAAATTTCGAATACTGACTAGTACTCACAATTTTTTCTGTTGGCTCATAATCGTCTAACTGGTCAATACGAAAATCGTAATTTGGTGCTGAAAGTTTATTGGGATTTGGATTAGGAAAAGGTTGTGGGTTTTGAGATTGTGTTTGATATTGTGTTTGGTATTGGAAATGTGGTGAAACAAAATTTTCTTGGTGATGAAATTGTGGTGGAATCATTAAATTTTGAGGTTGATAACAACGTTGTACATTGTGAGCACCATAAACCTGGGGTTGAAGAACTTAGTTGATTACTACTCGCTACTGACCCAACTTCACTACTTCTAGGTTCAACAACATACAATGTAACATCATCTTCTTACGAAACACTAATGTAAGCAATGAATCGTTCAACGTCTTCATTGTCGGCTAACAAATAAACTTTACCTTTTCTCTGATAAAATAGCCTAAATCCACTTAGAGGCTCTAAATTCAATTTCTTTGCAACACGTAACATTAGAGTTTCATAAGTTAACTTTTTTAATGACAGTTTTAGTTGAAGATTCATGGGTAAAGGCATATATTGTAAAACGCCATGAACATTCTCCCATGACCCTCCAAAACACAAATCTATCCAAACATGATCAACATTAGATGATTTCATTCTACAAATTGTAAATTAATTTACTAAACAAACGAGCTATAAACTGCATATCATTACTAACTTAGAGAAAAACATACCTTTATTAAGTTGATAGTTGATAATTTGTGAGAGAAATCATTGAAAAATTATATAGAAATAAAATTATGTAAAAAAAATTAGGGATGAGGAAGGATGTCGTTGGATATAGGAACAGATGTTGTCGGAAAGAGTGATAGATGGAGATGGAATGAGTTACAATTTAAGGATTTATGTTATAAGTTGTTGCTGCTGCGTAGTTATATACCCAAAACATTTGTGTTGCGAAACTAAAATATGTTGCGAAATTAAAATTCGTGTAGTGAATTCAGAAATCGAGTTGCGAAAACAAAATTCGCGTTGTGAATTCAGAAATCAAGTTGCGAATTTGAAATTAAGTGTTGCGAATTTGGAAACTAAGTTGCGAAATTGGAGTTTGCGTTACGAATTTGTTGGTCATTTTCGTAAATCCAAAAAAAGTTTGTTAAAATCGTATATTATAAGGCATTTTCGGTCACTGAAATTATTTTCTCTTCTTAAACTAACAATTAATTCTTAAACTATCAATTTTGATCCGTTTTAATATTTAATCTTTTAATTTTTTCAAATCATAACTAATGTTCAATTTTTTTTATTTTAATACCCTAATAATAAAAATTTAATACGTTTAGTACTTAAACTATCAGTTTAAATACTAAACATGTAATTTATCCTAAGTTTTAAAGATAAAGAAATGATAAAATTGTCTTTTGGCTCTCTTAAAATCGATAGATTTCAGTTTAGTCCTATTGAGAAAATTATATACTCCTACATTTAAACAAAAATAACGATGAAATTATATTTTGATCTTTTAAAAATTATGATTTACTCAATTCAAAAAAAAATTATGATTTACCATTGTATAAAACCAAAAAAGCTTCGGCCCTGTATTTAGTGCTACTTATTTACTGATCAAGATTAATCATCTTTTAATTACCCAGTGGGTTTATTGAGATAATATTTTCTATTGATATTTTATCTACTATAAATTTTAAAATTTGTTTTTAACAATGGTAGATTATATGATAGATGAACATGCCCAGTGGCGTCATGGAGGCCGGGGGCTTGATACTAATGCATGCACCGTTATATACACAGTTTTACTATCAAATTTTGAAGCACTACAAGAGATTTTAAGGGGGAGGAATTTGCAATGGTTCACCAGGGGTGGGCTCTAACACCTTTGCATCCGGTAGCTCCTTCGACAAAAGCTCCTGTATTTCGAAAGGAAAATACATCATTCATGCACTTGAATACGTATCGTTTAAGCGATAACCGATGTTTAACCGAGTGATAAAAAGATGAAAGATCGGTTCAACTAAGTCATGCAGATGAACACCACAGATAAGACTCGTTCCAGATTTAAAGATCGATTTCCACACAGTTTATCAACGCCCACATGCAAGAGATTCAAATACGTTTACAGCGTTTATGAGGATATAATCAACTTGAGGTGGGATGTTTACACCATAAGGGAGGCCTAGGTTCATTTACTTTTCAAGGAGAAAGGAATCTGACCTTGAATGATTCGATTGTTCCTTCGGACCGAACTATGCTAGCAAGAAACCCTTTGCTATCTAGATCTCCGTTCTTCATTGGCACAATGAACCTAAAAGAAAGAAAGGAGCAAGAGAATTGTAAAACTTCGTTGATCAGGTTTAGCGTCAAGGAATAGTTCAGGTAATTTACTTGGCATCCAGCAGTTTAGCTAACTGCACTGCATCTTCTTGTCCAGAAACCAAAGTAAATTTCGGAAGAAGCTGCTTGATGACTGGGGTGATAATGATGTCGGCACGCTCCTTCTCGAGAAAATCTTTGTTGTATAAGCAATGAGGTTCATAATAGAGTGTTAATTGGCCCTGTGGAGAAATGACTAGATACCTGAAACACAATTCCAAGACCGTCGTGGCAAAAGCCATACATGTAAGTTCAGTCATAAGAATATAATATAGCACACCCAATGATTAGTAATGGAGAGTGCAAGCGTTATACTTAAAGTCACATTCGCAAGTTGAAGCTCAGAGAGCCTTACCCATTCTCAGGTCGTTGCCATGGAGGACCGAGAACTGGCCCAGGAGTAGCTTGAATTCTGACTTTGGAACCATTGCTCGATTCAACTTCAGACTCCTGACCAGGTTCTAGATATGTGACCTGAAAGATTCTAATGCAACAGTGAACGGAAGTAAAGCCATATGCATGGATACATCGAACAGTAGCAAATTCGGTTGAAAATTAGTTTGAAACCAGATGCTCTACAACTAAATAGATTAATAAAATGACAAGTTGTCCTGAATGAATTGTTTACATTTAACACTAGCATCAATTTATGATGATATATTCAATGAACCAGACCACAAAAAATGCAGTGGAGCGTGAACCACTAACGGTAACATATGCCTAGTAGAACCCCTGAAAACTAAATTAACGATTTAACTCACATTTCTGAAAAGAGGATCCAGCAAAGGCTTGGCATTTGGAGTTGCGACGACTCGAAGATTCGGGGACATTTCCGAGAGTGGTTTTAAGGTCCTTAAATGGCAGTGATCATCAAAGTTTTGTGTAATCAGTAAGCAATCAAGTTGAGGAAGATCAGAAAGCTGCACAAAGGAAGTTACACCCCAATTACAACAAACACACTTATTAAACAACAAAGAAAATTATATACATATAAAACATGGATACAAAAAGAAACCTTGAAATTCTTAATAAATTTCTTGGCAGCATCATAGAGCAATGGAATGCCGAAGTCCAAGTTACCAACCAGAATTGGATCAACCAAAAGTTTCACCCCACTTACATCCCACAGCCAACTATTCCCCTAAAAACCAAAAACTAAAACCATGTCAACAACAAAAAAGAGGGAGAAAATTAACTGAAATTACTAAATTAAAAAGAAAAAGAAACCCACCTCTAGGTAAGTGAGGTTGAATACATCAGTCCCAGAAGAGCTGGACCCAACAGCACTCTCTTCAGAAACAACAGCAGAAACCCCCTTATCCCACCTGTGAAACCAACCCAAAACGAAAACATATACATATAAATACTACAGAAAGAATCGTAGGTTTTGGTTTAAAAGTTAATGAATACCTGCAGGTTGAGAGCTTTAATCTATCTGAACGGAAGCTGAATGGGGTTCGAGGAATTGAGGATAGACGGGCGGGTAAGAGAGCGGATACGGGTCTGGGGCCTCTGTTTCTCAATGGTTTGCAACACAGAGGAGCGGAATTGCAATGGACCGCCATGCTGTTTTGCTTCGCTTCGCTTCTTCAGTTTAATGATTTGGAAAGCTCCCAGCACACGAACTGGTTGTGGCACCCCGTTTACTGTCACTACAGGTTTAACTAACCCCCAGAAACATGCCTATCCTTCTCTGTACTGGTTTTGATTCCGACACTTGGCACAACTCTTAACCTTTACTTTTCTTCATTTACTTTTGAAAATTGAACTCTTCATCTACTGATATTTTTTTCTTAAAATTTTGTAATGAACTCATATCAGTAAATTTAATTTTACTATTTAATTATATTCGTTTTGTTTTAACCTTATTTTATTGCATTAATTTTATTTTAACCTTATTTTATTATTATAATATTGATATGATATTTAACAACGTTGACGTGATAGCTCATATGTAAATGATAATAGATGATGACTTAATAAAGAAGTTGAATTAATTTTTATAACCGAATTCGATGACATAATTGACTTTTTTATCGAATTCGAAAACATAATTGATTTTAGGATAAATTGAACGTTCAGTACTTAAATTATTAATTTTGGTCTATTTTAATACTTAAACTTTTATTTTTTTTAAATCATACCTTGTTTTTTTCATTTTAGTACCTCTTTAAAAACTTAAGTTAAAAAAATGAAAGTTTAGGTACTAAAATAGACAAAAACTAATAGTTTAGGTACTAAACGTTAAGTTTTTAACATCGGGTACTAAAATGAAATAAAAACTAAACATTAGATATGGCTTCGAAAAAATTGAAAATATTAGTTACTAAATCGGACCAAAGTTGGTAATTTAGGTACTAAATGGGTAATTTACCCATGATTTTAACTGAAAGTTTAAGGGTTTATTTATTTTTAAAAATTTCAAAACATAAAATGACCTGTATTATCTACCACAATGTTACAAGTAAAAATTTTAACCCTTGGCATTCACCAGACCGTAAATCCCTTTGTTTTCAAAACTGTGGTAAATTCACAAACAATATGTCCTACACATTAACAAGGCGAGGAAAGACGCTTGTGAGCATTTCCTCTCTCAAAACCAAGAAAACGTTTACTACACAAAATGCTATGCACAATTATATCTTGAAACTAAGTTCTCTCTCCCACCTTTTGGGACTATACGGTATCGCATTGACAATCTTGTTACCGTGTAGCCGCGGCAACTCGTCTCCGGTGGGGATCTTCTCGTGCCAAACAAATTCGTTCTCGTGTTCGAATTTCCGTAGCATGAGCATCGATTTCTTTTCCGAAGATGGATCTCCAGGATTCTTCTCCTGGAACTTTCTTCGCGTTGGTTAGTGCATCGCGGAGAACTCAAACGGCGACTCCTAGTTGCTCGGCTATCTTTAGACTTTCTGCAAGGTATTTCAGACTTCTCAACTCATGTAGAGCTTTGCAAGATGATATAAATTCCTGCACAGTTCATCGTTAACGATATAGTGTCATCTGCTTCATAGATGATATGTTCTAATGCAACAATAAACAAGGAGTTTCTCTAAAAGTAGTCTATTTGCACTAAAATCACTCTACTATTAGGATTAACACAATGCTGCAAGGTATTCGGAGAAGACGGAACGTAGATTTTTTTTGGTGAACGAAGATCACCGATGAAAAAGTGTAAAGAAAATCACCATATGTTCATAATAAGTGAAAAAAGGCTAATCATATCATGTCAAAGTTTATGCTAATGATTTATAATTAACCAAAGTAGGCATATTTAAAGTGATAAAACTGATTAAGCTTGCTTAATCAAGGAATAAGACATGCCAGCGATTTTTGGAAAGAGTGTGTAATTACCAAAAAACTCGACGAAATATCTTTGCACTCTCCAGTATTTGAATATAGAATAGCAGTGGCTTCACCAAGTCTATAATACCATAGTGCAGCTTTGCCAAAAGACCAACAGCTGTTCCTTTTTCTTAAGCCTTCCTTATGGTTGCAGCCTGTTTCATGATACAATAACCATCAGAGAAAAAGGAAGTAGTAAAGAAGCCGATAAAAGCAAATCGTTGCATATTAAAAAAATTGCATTTAAATTTCAGGCCAAGATGCCAGAAATCTGGGGTATATATCCTATGATATTGAAATGCGAAGGCCTTAACACTAACCTGGGCTTCAGCCAAGCAAATTAGGCGCATAACAGAGCAAATGGATGGAGTTGCTTCCGGTGGCCTTTCTACCGAGTGTGCAGATTGTAAAGAAGGAAAAATCTCAATAGCAAGATACTGAAAAACACCAGCTGCTTCCCTGAAAAGAGTGGCAGATTGCACCAAATCTGGCAAAATGAGAAGTAGATAGCAATGTTACGAACACAAGACTCGTGTGATTAATAAGAATATGATGTGAGAATGCACTGCCTACCTGCTGGAAGAATTTCTATAGCCCCCTCTCCCGAAGCAATGCGGAGTAAAGGTAAAGGGTCATACCAAGCTCATAACGCAAATTATCAATTTGAAAAAACTTTGGACCCCTAAGGTTAAAGAAAGATGATGAGTTAAGAGCGCTACTCCAACGGATCTTAAGTTCTGAAATCCAATGAGCAACATGGTCGTTGCTGCACACCAAATCAACATGAAAAATAAAGTTCTCCAACAGTGGCAGGTATTGCTCCAGTTTCTGAAGGTCCTGATGAAATTCAAACCGAAAAAAGAGGGGAAACAATCAGAATAACCTATTAAAACCTCGTGTGATTAGGAAAACTAGCCAGAGACAATCTAAAGCAAGTCTCAACCACAATGAATCATGCATTACAGAGACGGAGGTGCAAAAGCAAATGGTAGTACAGATTACAGAAGCAAAAATGTGAATAAAGCAACATTAAGAAATCACCCTTAGACAATGAGAAGTCAAGCCTCCAGACATTTCTCTTGCAATAGCTTCAGTAATGAAGCTGCTCTCATTAATGGACTCCTCGATTACTCTACGCCTAGAGCTCAACTCCTTCAAATGTTCAAGCGTGGCAGAATCACGCGCAGAAAACACATCTTCAAAAATAATCTGCAAGTATAGCAAACACATCAATAAGGACCCTAAAAGTAATCAACTTGAAAAGCTATACTCTAAAACGCAACATGGATCCATTAAAAAAATACATTTGGAAGACTAAATAAGCAAAGGCGCCCTGTAAATCCTTCAAACAACAAGAATAACAAAGCCTTTCAATTCGGATAAATGAGCATCCTTTATTAAAATCACATCATCTTGTCCGCAACTGGCATTCATTCTATATCACATTTCCTTTATTGTGATCAGACTATCAAAATAAAGCCAAAAACAAAGACTAAGCCATGGAAATGGGCAATCAAATAAGGCACTTCGATCCAACTGAAAGGTTCAAATTTTAGATCACTAACACAGACAATCTCCGATCATAATCCACTTTTTACAAACTTGGAGCAAAATCAAGAGAACATCAAAACAAAAGGGTGAGCCTAAGAGTAACGCTGCCTTCTTGGAATGGAGCTTTCCGGGCTGAAGACAATGCAGCAGCATCCTTCTCGAACACGCAAAACAAAACCCAAAGGTCAAACCCACACAAAAATCCAAGAAAATGGGATAAAGAAAGACAGGGTTAACAAAATTCCAACGCAGAGGGAGAAAAGTGGAGTGAAAAATGGATAATGGGTGTTCTTTTGTTTCTTGTAGTTGTTAGTTGTAAGCAGAGATCGAAGAGTTATAAGCCATTAATGACCCAGGTCGATATCAATGTGTTTTCTTCTCGGTTTCCTTCGATTCGATTAAAATGTTACAACGAAACGAAGAGAACGAAGCGAAGCGGAGTCTTCGGTTCTTGACCCGCTGGCTTCCCGCGGAATCTAGGCTCAGGTTCCTTTGCGGGTCGGGTTTGCTAAATTATAAAAGGTATAATATATCAATTAGTCCCTAAACTTAACAACCATTTTAACCTGATACCTAAATTAAAAAGCTAAATTCTGATTTGTGGCCATTATTTTTAGCATTTTACAAGATGTTAAGTTCAAGTGAAATTAATCTTATATTACGGAAAACAGAAATAATATAAAACATTTTTGGTCTTATTTAAAAAAAACATTTCTGGTCACAAATTATTTAAATTCAACTAAAAATTGAAAACCCAAAAATAAGAAAAATATAATTTCCCCGAATATTTTATTTTTAATTGAAAAGAAAAACAGTGGTTGAGAAACATTTTTCATTACAGGTACAGAGGAGAAGGGGGACATCGCTTGTGGAGTCATGGAGACTGCGATACGTGGGAGATTAACACTCTCACCCAACACTGTCTTCAATCCCAAACCAGGTTCTCCTTTCTCGGTTCCTCTTCTCCTCTCAAACTTTTGCCCACTTTTAATCTGTTGGTTTTTTATCTTGGGTTTCTAGTAAAGTTTGTAACTTCGCTTTGTCGACGATTATCGTATCTTTTGTGCATAATTTCTCCAGTAATTCGTCAAACAATCCAACTTGTACACACACAGATGCTCTGTTAACATTTCGGATTTTAAGGGGTGAAATTGGTCTTTTTGTGCTGAGATGGGTATTTTCGAAATCCATTTTATTTATATTCGTCGCTTTGTTTATGAATAATGCTTGTGAATTGGGACTAAATTCATCTTTTCGATTAGAAGCTTCTCAGATAGGATTATCTGAAAAGCTTTGAGCTTAGAGTTAATTCAGTCTTCGAGTTGCACTGTTGGGTTTAATACTTTTTGGAGGATGTGAATTTAAACTTTTGCAGGCAAGGCAAAAGCAAAAGCAAAAGCAAAAATTGTTGCTTTAGAGTGGACATGGATGGAAATCATTATAAAACAACTCGCCTCTATTCGAGTTACCGAGTATATGGTCATAAAAAGGGTAACCGTCCCGCAATATGAATACGGTTTTTGTTGTTGGTTTGGTGAAAAATAGGAATATTTATGTCTACTGTCTGGTGAGGCATTAGCTCGTTGAACCATAGCCAGAGGTTATCTCTTCCGAAAAAAATGAAGAGCTAGATGTAGAAACTTGGTATGCTCAACCTATGGAGTACTCGGTCTCTGAATAATCTGAAATGGTTTCTTGAATTTAGTAGTTGTTTCAAATTAAATTAAAGGTTTGAAAAATATGGCTTTTCATCATTGATAATCAGAACACTGGACATTTGTGATGGTAACGTAATGTTGTTTGATTAATCTTATATATTTTCCTAATGGATTGAGTTCCTTTGATTGTTTTATTGACTGGATTTGATGAACCTCCTTACCTCTCAGCTGCTTAAATAAATAATTATATTAGATATCTAACAGAGCAAAAGCTATAGCTGATATGGTCTCTTCTATTCGGTTTCATTTCTTCTTGTTGGTTTATCAGTATTGATGATTAAAGCAAAACTATGTAAACAGGAGAGAAACAATTGCATTGCAGGGGGGCACGCACAAACCGTGGTATTCTCATGGCTATTTTGACCACAGGATCAGGTAAAGGAGCAGGAATTTTGGAAAAGCCAGTTATCGAGCGAACAACTCCCTGTCGTGAATCTGAGTTTGATCTCAAGTGAGTGCCCAAATTTAAAGTTCTTTTTGTTGATGTGAATTATGGTGTTAATTTATGTTATACCATCCTTCTCATAAATTTGCTGGCACATATCCCATTCTTATACCATTTTTGTACATCATCTATTTGACGCGTGATTATATTAATTGGTTGTATGAAATCCATTTGCTGGTGTAATTGCAAACCGAGGGGATTTCCAAATGCATTGGCACGATTAGCAGTTTAGCACTTGCAATGTCTCTGTATGGTACCTCAATATTTGTCATCCGGTAGATTTTTTCCTTTTCTTTTAACATCTTTGTGGGTTTGAATTGCTTAGGAAATCGAGAAAAATCGCTCCACCTTATCGAGTCATACTGCACAACGACAATTTCAACAAACGGGAATACGTTGTGCAAGTACTGATGAAAGTCATCCCTGGAATGACACTTGACAATGCTGTTAACATCATGCAAGAAGCACACTACAATGGCATGGCAGTGGTGATTATATGTGCCCAGGCCGATGCCGAGGAACACTGCATGCAGCTACGAGGGAACGGGCTTTTAAGTTCAATTGAACCAGCTAGTGGTGGTTGCTAAAGAGTCGGGGACGACTGGGCCAGCCATTTCATCATATATCACCATTTTTAGAGAGCTTTTAGATGGTGTATATCTCAGTAGTTCTCTTATTGTATGATCCCTAAACAATACATCCCCTATATAGTCGAAATGAAAGACAAGAATCGTTCTCCCTGGCTCTTTTGCTTACTCTCATTGATTTTGAATGAGTTGAACAACTTTAAAAGAATCCAGAATAATAAGAAAAATCCGGAAATGAACCTGAAATTGAAGTCATAACAGAAGAAAGATAATGGGAAAAGATTTGAGCATCAGAGGCTTATGCCGTGAAGCATTCCTCCGGTTCTGAACAGACCAAAATATGCACTAACCATTAATAAGCCATCAAGACTATACCCGGGAGAGGAATGATTGGATTCCGAAATTAATGAAAAGAATACCGGTGAATGCAACCTGCATCAAAGTGATAAGAACTAGGTTTCACAATTTGCTCGAGATGGAAACATGCTGACGACAACTGTGGCGTGAGGGTAAAACGAAAACAGTGGGTCTGAATTATGATTTTCTCAGTTATCCAAGACGCCAAGCTCTTCCCTCCGAAGACAGCAGCAACGGTGCACAGCGCTTGTCCTCTAGGAAAAAGAGGAAGTAACATTACTGATATGAAGAATAGGAAGGAAATAGCATTGCTTCTGTAAATACAGAGGGATATCACACGGTAAAACTTACAGAATGTCACCTAGAACCACACCGAACGGGTCCTCATCGGCAGCCAAGCCAATAGTGATTCTAGATCCAGAAATCAGGAGGCAAGCCAGTTGACTGGAAGTCAATCTTGTTCTCGAGAGCGACCACAGCGATTCTAGTGATCAAAAGCATATGATACTCTGGTAAACTGGTGTTGGCATAAGTTCAACCAAAATTTCAAAGACGTTTCCTCAAGGCCTAGACCGTCTGTCGAGTCTCGAGCTAATGTTTGCACCTATTCTCAAGATTCTTTTGATCATTCATATACTCCATTTGTTAGTTCATCTGCAGGTTATAGTGATTCTAGTGATAGCGGTTCAGTTACATTTGGTTCATCTGCCTTGTGATGGTTCGTCTCTTATCATTTATCATATCGGCCAAGCGTCTATGGTAACTCTATCTTAATAGAATGTGCCCTTCTTTAGAGTGCTTTTAGTCTTTTAGATGGTGTATCAAAATTAAGACGAGAGGATATCACTGATTTTGAATTAGGATCTGTCCCATTTACTATTTTCTTTCCCTCCAAGTTTTTTTTTTTGGTTTTACACGTACTGATTTTGACTGAGTTAACCAATTAAAAAAAATAGCAAATTCTGAAAAAGAACCAGATCATGGAAGTCGTAACAAAACTCCCACAAACTAAACAGTAGCAGTAGGCAGAATGGCATGAAAGCATACACAGTTGTTGACAATAACTAAATTACTTATCGCTGAGTTTGTCCAGTTTCATTTCTGTATGTCTAAATATTTTGAAAAAAAATTGAAAAATAATAGTCAATGAGTCAAAGTAGAAGATAGACCCTGTCACTTCCAAAGATAATATCAGTATCAAATAGCTCTTGTGCACTATCATTCTCCATGACTTGGAAGATCACGAGTTCTGGATTTCAATGTGTAAAGTTTGCGATATCTGTGACTGCACAAAGCAAAGTAACCGTGTTACGGACAAATACAGGGAAGGATCCAGGAACAGTATATGCAGTGTGTGAGCCTGCAGGAATTTTGGGTAAGCAAACACTTGTTATGTTCAACAACATTGGATCCTGATGTACAAAAAGTTATCATCTACCTAGTACCATAACCGTGGATCAATTTGGATTTCATGATATTCACTTGGTGTGTATGAATAATCAACACATCAAAATCTGCACTAACCATTAGTAAGTCATCAAGACCCAACAGGGGTGAGGAATGATTGGATTCCAAAAACAACGAAAAGAACTCCACCCGAGAGTGCAACCTGCAAGTGATAAAAATTGATTTCAGATTTTGCTCAAAATTAATATGCAGCAACTGTTGCACAAGGATAAAACGAAAAGCATTGATCTGTATTACAATTTTCTCAGATATCTGCGACGCCAAGCTCTTTCCTCCAAGGACAGCAGCTGTGGTGCACAATGCTTGTCCTCTAGAAAAGAAAAGAAAAGAAAAAGGGAAAAAAGAGCAACATTACTGATTGGCATATAAAAAAGAAAGCTAACATGAAGAATATACATACCTAGTGGTTAAACTAGGAAGGAAATAGCATCGCTACTGTAAATACAAAGAAACATATCACAAGGTAATACAACTTACACAATTCCACCAAGAACCACACCAAATGGGTCCTCATCAGCAGCCAGACCAATCGTGGCAAGCTGAAAAGAGAGTAATATAATGCTTAATCCAAAATAATGAAGAAGCCATAGAGGGTTGTTACAGAAGAGAGAGAAATATGCAGTTCATTTGCCGGAGTTCACCTGGCTCTTGTCCCCCCATTCACCGAAAAATGTGATGGAAAATGCCTGCAAAATAGGCACAGTCAAATTGTTTGACAATACGCAGGCTTATCAATATTAAACTAATAGGTTAAGTTTTAACCTTTAGTAATATTGGAGAGAAGAACTGTGTGAGAAATGGCCGGCTCTTCTTTTTCAACTCATCATCATCCTTTGAACATATAGTTGAATGTCATCAGAAGATTAACAATTTTACTGAAAAGTATTAACTTGAAAATATCAAATATAAAGCAGGACATGAATTCAGAAGCACGTGATAGATAGAGCTCACTATTATCATGAACATTTGCTGACTTTTATGTTCAAACAAACTTTATTTCCCAAATCAGATACACCGATGCATGAAATAAAATCAATAAAGTATACCATTGGCAAAGAAATTTGTTTCATACGATTAACAAGAATTCAATAAAAGAAGAAAGCAAAAAGTGTTATATGATCTCATGGAGCAATCAACATTTCCTTCAAGTATGTAGGTTAAATTGTTTAGCATCAAGGAAGTAGATATTGCTTTTTCATGAAAGAAACGAAGGAACGAAATTAATGTTGAAAGTAGACGTGGATATTAAGCCAACTGTATTAAGAATTTTATGTTCGTGATATTTTGGATTTCAAAATAGATTGGTTCAGGCCATTGACTATTACAAATTATTTCCACTCAAGTTGACTTTAGGCCATTTCAAAATTTAAAAAATATATTAAACTGCATTTGTAAAGGAACAAATATAATATATATTTTGCTTAGTTCAAGTTACTGGGTTCTTTCAAGGTTGAATCTGGGTCAACTCAAGTCAACTAAATTTACAATCACCTACGTTTCGGTTGATAAACTTGCAAGAAATTTAGTAACAAAAATGTATGTCCTATCAGTTAATCAAATGTGTTTTGACATGGTTGTTTTTGTACCTTACTTCCCTTCTTGACTGTTTTTGTGTTGTCCTTCCAGTCAGCATCCTGGTCACAACAATAAAGTAACATAAACAATGTCATTTTTTTACATTGAAAAGAAAATATCCACTTAAGCATCAGGAAATTTATTTAAAAAATTACCAGTTTTGCTTCAACTTCAGCTAATTCTTCATCGTCCCTATTGTGGAAACATAGTTAGGTCGCATCAAAATCAATTTATAGTTAAACAAAAGCATACTCTACCTAAGCGTGACAAATAGAATCACGCCCATGAAAATGATAAAGAACAACGAAAAGGACTAAAGAGATAAGAAAAAAGGTATTACCCACTCTCCATAAATCCATCCCATAAAGACCACAGACCAAATCCAAAAAACAGCACTGTTGTTACGTGATGAGTCCATTTCCTAGATATCTGCATAATAGAAATCATACAGGAAGAGAATGAGAGCATTTTTCATATCAGTTTCAAGTTTTGAGTCTGAGGTTCAAGATGAAATTCAATTAAATTAATTATCCAAGCTGACAGCTTTTTGATGCTTTGTTGCTCAGACTCTTTCTTTTTTTCATGAAGTACCCATGTCAGACTTTTAATAGTGTATTTCATAATCTGTAACTTCACAAAATAGGGATCAATCAACTTGAATTCAATACAGCCAGTGTTAAAAAGGGCGCAAGGCGCACCAAGGCGATAGGGGTATTATAGCCGAGGCGCAAGGCGAGCACCTTATTGAAGTGCTTTTTGAAAATAAAAGAAATATAGTTTTTTTCAGTTGTATAGTCGAGCAAAATATATGAGAAATTAAAATTTTTAGGATGCCACCACACCCATCACCCCCTTTAACTATCCCTTAACAATATGAATAGTTATGTTACAAAGCAATTCTAATAGCTGTAACTATCAAATCAGTAATAATACATATACAAATCATAAGGTGCTAAGAGAACAAAAAACACATACTGCATGAGTGGATGAACCATTAAAAAAATTCTCCTTAAGATATGTAGCAAACTAGAATTTAAACATTATACAAGATTACCCAAACAACAAATAAGCAAAATGATAGCATCAAAGTTTTTCTTTAAAGGAAAAAAGTGAAAGAGGAAAAGATAGCTTTATAGGGAAATGTATATGATCTAGAAACTTTTGATAGTGAAAGAATCAGAACTGAAGTTTGGGTTTAAAAGCTTCTTGTTTCAATGCATAACAAGGGGTGCAATAAAGTGCAACCAGTTGTGAGAAAAGCAAAAAAGAAGCAGGTGAAGGATGAGTTGGATCGTATTAAACAGGCTGAAAAGAAAAAGTGGCGTTTGGAGAAAGCCCTTGCAACCAAAGAACAAAGAAAATGGAAAAGCGGCGCCTTTTTGTTCCTCGGGCACGCCTTGCTGCGCCTGATCAAAGTCGCCTCACCCAGGCCAAAATAAGCGCTTCACCGTCACCTCATCGCCTAGGCGCGCCTCGGGCGCACCTTTTTAAACACTGAATACAGCTCCTTTCCTAACACAAAGCTTCCCTCTTTTCATCCTCTTTGGCAATATTTCCAGGCAAAGATGACCAAGAATAACTTAGTTAACTAGATATAGCTTGAAATTCCACTAAAACAAGCTGTAGTGTGATTGTTCAGGTCCTTTCAAAGGTAATTAAAAACTATCCAAATGCAGAAAAGTCTTTCTCAAACAGCAATCTGACCACTTACAAGATTTGGGGCAGCCCAGCCAACAACAGCAGAAAGAATAGTCATCACCTACAGACAAAATATTCCAAATAACTATGATGCTCGAGAAAACAAAAATGTTTACAAAGTTAACTTGAATGAAATGGTTGTCCAGAAAAGAGGGGAAAGAAAAACACTTACAATTAAAGCTGCCAGGCATCCTGACAACACAAGTCTCCTTGGATGACGCATTGCCAAGATCTTGAAACAAGTACAAGAGTTTAAAAAACATCAGTGTTCAAGCTATTGCTGAAAAATATGCAATCAAAGTGGTGATGGTCAGACAAGCAGAGTATCAAGGGATTTGAAATAATATTTAAGTAAAAAATATTAAACTAGAATATCCTAAAAATGAAGAACGGAAACGTCATTAAAGTAAAGCTACAAAACGACAGGTGTTTTCTAACAATTAAGTTACATATGCGCCTCCAAAATAAAGATGTATCGGCAAAAAAAAAATAATAGTCTTATACATCAAGCATTTGAACTCAGAAGAAGACATTAACTTGTTACACTTAAAGCATTAGACCATGTGCTAAGTTATCGTTTTCAAAACAATATATGCTCCATTTCTTCCCTCAAATACAACAAGGCTTACGAATGCAACTTTGAGTCACTATAATAAATACATGACTTATCACAAAAAAATAAAGTAATTGTTCAAATATTAAAGATTTTAACCTCGTGAATGACACATAATGGTATGATTTTCTTCCTGAGAAATTTTCCTACAAGTTAATTCCAGAAACACTACTAGGTTACCAGAATCCATAAGTATTTTTTCAAAATATTAGCATTTTCAAGTATACTAGCCAATGAAATATAATATGCAATGCCTTTCTGAAGGATGGGTTGAGAAATTGAATGCTTAAAGAAGCTCAATGGATGTAAAACTAGGGTCATTAACACATTATTCACCACTCACACCATCTACAATTCAACTCTAGCTTCAACTTTCAAGTCCCTTCAAAATCATTGAAATCGCGAGGCAATAAATAATTAGAATAGAATTAAACCAACCAAAAAGGGAAAAATAAATAAATATTGAAGTTCAAACTTTGACTAACCGCGGCAGCGAAGAACGTCTTGTCACCAATCTCCGATAGCACAGTCATGGCTAGAGACTTGGAAAATCCCTTTCGAAATCGGAACAACAAAATCGATGATTGATTAACGAAAAACAAAGCTAAATAATAACAAAGGCTTTAATTGGAGATATAAAAAAATACTTGCACAAGTGTGGTCATGATTGCAGCTGCAAGGATAGCTGAAAAGGAATCCCCAAACTTTCGCGGAAAATAAAGATATTTTCTTTTCTCCTTCTGGAGTTAGAAAATTGACTTTCTTCTCTGTCCGGGTGAATCCGAGAACTGAGTTAGTAACTCGGGCTGTGTCGCTGCGAGTTCTAAAACAGTAGTATTTACCCAGCGGCGACGACTACGACAAAACAGATCCAATAAATAGTTGAAGAGAAAAAGGAAGTTTCGTAAAAGGTTCAAAGAGGATGTGTTGCTAGGCGCGTGTTGTTCACTTCCTAGAACGATGGAAATGATTGGATTGGGAAGGTGAGAATAAAGAAGAGAAAAATTCGATTTGATTTAAAAATTGATTTTTTTAATTTGAAAAAAATCGATTCGAATTAAATCTGAATTGTAGTTTTATAAATTTGAATAGAATAAAAATAATTTAAGTTTAAATTGAGTTGTAAAATATAACTCGAGTAATAACTTGTAGGGGCGTGCGTTCGTTAGAGTCAAGTAAAAAAATTTGAGTTATTCGAGTTGATTAGTGTTATTTTACAACTTGAAATTGACTTGAAATTTTATTGAGTCTAGTCGATTTTTTGAGTTTTTATTTAAATTTAATTATAAATATTTATAATACTATAATACTATTTAATTCTAATTTAAGTAATTTTGATATAATCATATATACAATACAAATATAATTATTCATATTTTTTTTATATTTGATATACATATATCATATAAAGTAGAAGAACTCGACTTAAACTTGAAAATAAATTCACTAATTACTAAAATTTTTGAGTTATTCGAGTTGTATTTTACAACTCGATTTGAACTTTAAATTTTTTCGAATTGAGTAGAGTTTATGAAATTACAACTCGAAGTCAATTCGAGTCGAGTTTTTTCCGAATGGAATCAAGTCAAAAACTTAATTTTTCGAGTCGAGTCAAATTTTGCTCACCCTTAATAACTTCAATAACTCTAAATTTTAGTAATTAATAAATTAATTTTTATGTTTGAATTAAGACCTTGAATATATATAATATACGTATATCGCATATAAAAAATATGAAGAAATATATATATAATATATGGTTATAAAAAAATTTAAATTAAAATCAATTTTAATAAATTAAAATTATTTTATTTATCTCAATTTGAGTCGATCGAACACGCATCCTATGATAAGATTTGACAGCAAACTTTATGGCGTTAGGGTCACGCGGATTATTTAACTGAGTTTATTACGGAAATAAATGTGAAAGGGTTGGCGTAAATTAATATTTTAATTTAATGTTTATTTACCTTTCAATTTCATTACGTTGTATTGACTTAAAAGAAAAATTATAAATATTTTGTACAAAATACATATTCATTCAAAACTATTAATATTTTTCTCTTTAATTATATTGATGTTATTTTTGAATTTTTAAACTGTATCAATATGCTCTTTTAATTAACAGAAATAGTTGTTAATCGTTTTAATAGTGACGTAATAATTAATTAAGCTTATATAAGAGTCTATAATAACTAGGGTAAATTGTATTGTTTATTGTAAACACCAATTTTCAACCTATGTATTATATTTAATTACAATAAAAAAGAAGGAAAGACCAAAGAAAAGGGCTGGAAATCCATCCATATCCAAGCATTAAATGCCCGGTTGTCCCTGCCATCTTTACTGTGCTACCATCGCCTATCATTTCCATTCCTTTGCTGCAACCTGCCCCGGTCATTGAACTTTTTAAAGTTTTCATTTAGGCCTCTTAATTTTTTAAAATTACAATACAGTCTCCCAACACTTAATCTGTTTGCAATATGGTCCCCAATGTAACCGGTTGTTTGACGTCGTTACACTGCCGTTAGTACGTTTGCAATATGATCACTGAACTTTTCAGGCACTTGCATTTAGGTCCCCCAATTTTTAAAACTTGCAACACAGTCCTCAATTTCATTCTAAACCCAAATTTTTTTTCGATTTCGAATTTCCTTTTTCGTTTCTCTCTTCTCATTTCCAGCATAACTTTTCAGTCGGGATGCATGGGAAATCCTAATCTAACTTTAAATTATGTGGAGGTGTTGACTTGAATAAGGGTCCATTGAGAGAAGACCCGACCAAGGGACTATTGGGACCATCAACGATTCAATGTGTAATGTTAGATACAAGTCGTCTCAGGTGAAGCATAGATGTTTGATGAAATGCTTGTGAAAAAAATAGGGTTAGAAATGCAGAGTTGACAAATACTAATAAGATGAACTAAGTATCATCGTTGAAAGTCACCACACAAATTTGGAATTATTTTGTATAAATGGCATATAATAATTTCTTCGTTTAATCCTTGTGGTTAAAGATTTTCCAATAGATTATCAAATATAATGAAATCACAAACACCGCATTCACCTCTCAGTCTCTTTCGCAACTCGAAAGACATCATGACAGTGTCAACCAACACTGAATATTCAGATCATTGACATACAGTTCCAGAAACATAAAAATTTCAACAAAAAACACACAATGCGAGCTGAAAATAGGAAAATGCGAAAGAGGAAAAGCTTACTTCCGGATAGCCCAAAAGATAAAATAAATACCTTCTTGCAAGTGAGGGGGAGTACTGTTTGTGTTTACAATTTTACATGGCGGAAAATTGAATAACAAAAACCAAACGAGAGTGCATGTGAGCGAAAGAGACTGAGAGGTTTAACGAAATTTTACTGGCGAGTAGATTGACTAGCAATGGGGGCTCATTGATTTTCCCATGAGAAATTTTGATGTTGACGCCACCTTGGATTGTAGGTATTGGAGTAGGGATTGTTATTGCCTACATAATTGATGGACTCATGATTAGTCGGCATTCGCTCTCGTGGTGATTGTCATGGCATAATAGACATGTCAAACTAGCTGTCTTCACTTCCTTCACCTCAGTGGAGCGTTGTATATTCTTCAACATATTAGTGATAGTTGAGAGTTTAGCGGACACAAAGTCCTTGGCATATAACTTGAATGCCCCAGGTGCTTTTCTCCCAATTCCAAACCTTGAGGAAGGAAATTGATAATCATTGTTGGCAATCCTATCAAGAATAGCAAATGTCTCAGTAGGTGATTTGTCAAGAAATGTCTCATTTGCTGAGGCATCAAGCATCATCCTCGTTGGTGTATTGACTTCATTATAAAACATTACGACTTGCATCCAATCTTGTAAACCATGATTAGAACATTTACGAAGAAAACTCTTATAACGATCCCAACATTCATACAAATTCGTCATCAGTCTAACGAAATGATGTTATGTCATTCCTTAGCTGAGTGTTCATGTTTGGCGTGTTATAGCACAACAAAAAGCTTTTACAAAGATCACCCATGCTCCATCGAGCCAGATGGAACACCACTCAACCAAGCCCTAGCTCGGTCACGCAAAGAGTAAGGAAATAGCTTTAATTTCAACACTTCATCATGTACTGCTTGTTGGCAGAAAGAATCACATGCTCCAAGAAATTGCGAATATGTTGTTACATCTTCATTTGGCATGCCCCCAAATTGACCTATATAATTCAACATATTGAACATGACTAGTTTGAGCTCAAAATAGGTTGTCTGAATTTAGGGTGCCACAATCACAGGGTTTAGATCATCCAAAATAGGATTGAAGTGATCACGAATAGTACAAGGCCCAGCATTGGGAATTGCCTCGACATTCTGATATTCCTCTTGACCAATGTCTTGATTTCCAATTTGATACATATTTCCTTGAACACATTGATCACGTCTCCTTTGTCTAAAGAGTTTCAATCTCAAGTTCAATTGGTATCAATGGCTCGACAGAATGGCTTCTGGTTATACACCAAATAAGCCTGAAAAAGATAAAGTAAAAATATCAAGTAAACTATACTAAAAAAATAAAGAAGCAAAATAAAATACTATAGCAAACTAATTAACTTCACGTTGCCAATCCACGGTAATGGCGCTAAAAACTTGTTGCATGTTGTGTGTGTTTAATATTGAATGCAAATGATGTGCAAGTATACACAATCGCACAAGTAATATAGTGATAAGTGAGTATCGTATCCACAGGGATTGGTGGAATTTATAAGTTTAGTCAAAGCAAAGAATTATTTTATCTAAGTATAGTTAAGATGATATATATACAAATGATTTTGCCTAGCAAATGGAATGTTTAAGAGTGGAATCACAATGGTGGTACGATGGATAGCAAATAGAAATGTCGTGGCAAAGGAAATGTTTATAGTCTGAATAGGTGAAAATGTTAAGGCAATGCAAAATGGTCAATGCACAGAATAAATGAAATAACTTGATAATCCTCATACGGGAAGCTTCTACGGGAATGAACTGTGGGGAGTCACTTAGGAAGTTTTAAACTTATCTTTTAAGTTGATCTAGTCTTCTAGTGCCTTACTTGTTCGACGGAGTTTACTAAAGATGTTATATATTATCTCTAGTCTAAGAACCTAACAGAATAGGATGCCCCATCATCTCTTCTCGGACTGAACAATGACACACTAAACCATTTATTACGCTTTACCCCTCTTAGTCGTTGAAACCCTAGCTTAGTTTCTCTCGAATACTAACGAATTAGGTTCTAGTAATTAACTACAACCCATTCCTTACACTAATCTTACTTTAGTTTCTCTCAAATACTAAAGAGTTAATGATTATGTTTCTCTCGAACACCTAGTATTCTACTTAAGAAATGGACACTATCATGCATCCTACAATCTTATGAGATTAAGAACTCATAAGCAAAACAAGTAATAAGCAAAAGAAAACATTAATCAACCATTCAAAACAAAGTTTAAAGCATCCATCAATGAACTCCACCAAATATAGTCTAGCTCATGGTGGGGTTCAAATAAACCATGGAAAATCTCAATTTGTTCATTCATTCCTTACAACCCAATCAAAGATCAATCATAAAATGGAGCAAAGGTTAGAGAAGAAAGCACTACATGTGCACGGCCAATGCTTTCTTTGAACCACTACGAACGGCTATAGCGGCTAGCTCCTCTCGGATGCAAAGGCCACTCCCTCGAGCTTCACCAATGAAGGAACACCACTAAAAGCGGATGGGAAAAAGAAAAAGGAAGAAGTTGAGCTCGTCAATGGAGGAAGAGAGAGTCGGAGAAGATGATGAATTAGATCCCCAAAATAGTGTCATTTTCTTTATAAATCTAAGGAATGTTCTTAGGGAATTTTGAAAAAATTCTCATCATACCCCAAGTACACTCCAAATGTGTGAAGATTGATTCCATAGGTGGCAGTCGGTCCTATTCAGGTGGTTACCAGCACAAAACACGTGCTAATAACTGTTGTGGTTTGTGAAAATATTTTTGTGTTTTTTGCGCCAGAAATGTCAAGGCATTACTGTTTGCTTCAGCAACTTATGATGCCGCGACATTTTTCTCTGCTCGTCTTATGCTCCTTGTTTTTGCACATCACCAAATAGCCACACCTTTCCCATCATATAGCGCCTTCACAAAGTAAAATGCAATGGCAAAAACACAACCACCAAAATGCAACTATATAAAATTACATGCACCTAAAATGACCTATATGAGCCTTTAAATAATCAATAACTTAAGTGAAAAAGACCTTAAAAGTAATCTTTTTACGAAGTTATCATTCAACCGAAGTAGTAGGTCTCTAGATAATCTAGAATGGTATCTTGAATTTATTACTTGTTTCAAATTAAGTTAAAAGTATGAAAAATATAGCTTTTCATCATTGATAATCAGAAAACTGGACATTTGTGATTGTAACATTATGTTGTTTGATTAATCTTATTTATTTTCCTAATGGATCGTGTTCTTATGATTGTTTTATTGATTGGATTTGATGAACCTTCTTTCCTTTCAGCTGCTCAAACAAATAATTATATTAGATATCTGACAGAGCAAAAGCTATAGCTGTGATGGTCTCTTCTATTCGGTTTCGGTTCTGTAAACTGGCTTCGATTTCTTGCTGGTTTATCAGTCGAGTGCATATGTTGGTGGTTAAATCAAAACTATGTAAACAGGAGAGAAACAGTCACGTTGCAGGGGGGCATGCACCAACCGTGGCGTTCTCATGGCTATTTCGACCACTGGATCAGGTAAAGGAGCAGGAATTTTGGAGAAGCCAGTTATCGAGCGAACGACTCCTGGTCGTGAATCTGAGTTTGATCTTAAGTGAGTGCTCAAATTCGAAGTTCTTATTGTTGATGTGAATTATTGAGTGTTAATTTGAGTTGTGACCATCTTTCTGGCACATATCCCATTCTTAGACCATTTTTGTACCACATCTATTCGACGCACAATTAGCACTTGCAATGTCTGTGTATGTTATCCCGATTTTGGTTTCTAGTAGATTTTTTCCTTCTCTTTTATCTTCTTTTTGGGTTTGAATTACTTAGGAAATCGAGAAAAATTGCTCCACCTTATCGAGTCATACTGCACAACGACAATTTCAACAGAAGGAAATACGTTGTGCAACTACTAATGAAAGTCATCCCTGGAATGACACTTGACAGTGCTGTTAACATCATGCAAGAAGCACACTACAATGGCATGGCAAAGGTGATTATATGTGCTCAGGCCGATGCCGAGGAACACTGCATGCAGCTACGAGGGAACGGGCTTTTAAGTTCAATTGAACCAGCGAGTGGCGGTTGCTAAAGGGTTGGGGACAACCAAGCCAACCATTGGGTTCCTTATCACTGTTAAATATGCCCTTTCGAGAGAGCTTTTAGATGGTGTATATCTCAGTAGTGCTCTTATTGTATGATCCCTAAACAATACATCCCCTATAGTCAAAATGAAAGACAATAATCGGTCCCATTTACTTATTTTCTTTCTCCCGGGCTCTTTTGCCTACTCTTACTGATTTTGAATGAGTTGAACATCTTTAAACAAAAATTCCAGAAATGATAAGAAAAATCTGAAAATGAACCTGAAATTAAAGTCGAAACAGAACAAGAAAGCTAATCGGAAAAGAGTTGAGCATCAAAGACATGCTGGGAAGCATCAAGCATTCCTCCAGTTCGGAACAGACCGAAATCTGCACTAACCATTAGTAGCTTCATCAAGACTGTACTGAGGAGAGGAAGGATTGGATTCCGAAAATAATGAAAAGAACTCCACCGGCGAGTGCAACCTGCATCAAAATGATAAGAACTTGGTTTCACAAATTGCTCGAGATGTTAACATGCAGACCACAACGTGCGTGATGGTTAAAGGAAAACAGTGGGTTCGAATTACAATTTTCTCAGATATCCGAGACGCCAAGCTCTTCCCTCCGACTACAGCAACAACGGTACACAAAGCTTGTCCTCTAGGAAAAAAAGGGATTAACATTACTAATCAGCATATGCAAGAGAAACCGTGAAGAATATACATATAGAGTGGTTAAAAGAGGAATGAAATAACATTGCTTCTGTAAGTACACAGAGGGATATCACAAGGTAAAACTTACAGAATGCCACCTAGAACCACACCGAATGGGTCCTCATCAGCAGCCATGCCAATGGTGGCAAGCTGAAAGACAGTAATACAATGAAGATGCAATAATGGCATGTTAAGGAAGAGAGGGAAATTTGCAGAAGTTCACCTGGCTCCTGTCGCCCCATTCCCCAAAAAATGTGATGGAAAATGCCTGCATGCGAAATAGGCACAGTCAAATTGTTTCACTACAATTCACAATAGGTCATGTAAAGTTCTAACCTTCAGAAATATGGGAGAGAAGAACTGTGTGAGAAATGGCCGCCTCTTCTTTTTCAGTTCATCACCATCCTGTTGAGCACACAGTTCAAGGTCTTCAAATAAGAAGCAGGCCATGAATTCAGAACGACATGACAAATAGAACTACACCATTATCATCAACACATACTGAGTTATTAGTAAATCAAAGGTTTTTGTACCTTACTTCCCTCCTTGACCTTTTTTGAGTCGACCTTCGAGTCAGCATCCTAGTCACATCAATGCAGAAACATAAACAATGTCTCTTCCTTTCATTATACATCAGGGATATATATATATATATATATAAACTTACCAGTTTTGCTTCAACTTCAGCTAATTCACTTATCCCTATTGTCGAAACATAGTTAGATTGTCGAAACATAGTTAGATCAAACAATCAATTTATAGTTAAACAAAAGCTTACTCTTCCTAAGCATTACCCATCTTCCATAAATCCATCCCATATAGACCAAAGACCGAATCCGAAAAACAGCACTGTCGTTATGTGATGCGTCCATGTCCTAGGGATCTGCATAATCGAAATTAAAACCGATCCAAATGAAGAAGAATCTTTCTCCAACAGCAGTCAAACCACTTACAAGATTTGGAGCAGCCCAGCCGACAGCAGCAGAAAGAATAGTCATCGCCTACAAATGAAAATGTTTCAAACAACTACGATGCTGGAGAAAACAAAGAAGTTTACAAAGTCGACCTGAATGAAAAGGAGAAAATGTAAAAACACTTACAATTAAAGATGCCATGCATCCTGACAAGACAAGCCCCCTCGGATGACGCATTGCTAAGATCTTAAGCAAGATTTTAAGAAACATCAGTGTTCAAGCTATTGCTGGAAAGATGCAAAGTAGTTATGTTCAGAGGATCAAGGGGCTTGAATTTACATACAAGTTGAAATATGAAAATCAGTATGCCCTAAAATTAGCAGGCTCTGAGATGACTTGTAGAAATTAGAAGAAGAAGTAAAGATTTGATTTGAAGATATTTCAGCTTGATTATTCCCTTAAGTTTAATGTAACATACATACTAGAGACTTGGAAAAACCCTTTCAAACAACAAAAGAGAAAGAAACGATGATACATGAACAAAAATCTAAACTAAACTAGAACGAAAAAAATAAAATTTTACTTGCACAAGTGAGCTCATGATTGTAGTAGCACGGCAGGGTTGGGATAGCTGAAAAATAAACCCTTAACTTTCGAAGAAAACACAGGTTGTTTTCTTTTGCCTGTTAAGAGTTAGAATATAAAGTTTCGCCACACACCCTGAGTTGTTAACTCGGGCGGTGTTTTTGGTACCCAGGGGAGGCTACTACAATATAAAAAACACGAAATAAAAAAAATGAACGAAACTTATGTAACCAGGGGAGGCTACTACAATATAAAAACACGAAATAAAAAAAATGAACGAAACTTATGTACCCAGGGGAGGCAACTAGCGACTACAATACAGAGAGATCAAATAAATAAACAGTAAGTTACGAAGGAATAGTGATTAGGTTCACGTGGCTTTTCTACCTCGTACCCAAATATTCCGATTCGTTTTAGTTGTCATATTTGTTTGGCCTGTCAGTCCGTTACTTTCATTATTAGGATCACGTGCCTTTTGCCGTCGATCGTCACCGTTTAATATGGTACCAAAGAGTCTCTCATCCTTTTTTGACGTCATTATTGTTGAATCCTGGTAATAGCACTTGTTCACGTCCTTTAGCATATGTTCGATGATCGAATCATTTGATCGTTTCCTCGTCGGAGATGTTTCACATCAGATGTCTGAAAATAAACAGACTAGTTTATGGCTTGATGACACCAATTTCTGAACGGATTGTTGCCTAAGTCGCCTGTCGATGATCACTGCCAGCAGAGATTCTTATTCTCTTGAAGTTGTTGTGACAACTGTTCAGTGTCAAAATAAATTCATTTTTCTCAATTAATAAATAAGAAAATACGTAGTATAGAGAAATAAGGTTTGAATCCTCAGAGACTTAGAAAATCATAAATTAATGTTTGAATAGTTTTTAACCAGGCGAAAAATAGTAAAATGGGGGATAAATTAAAGCAATTAAAGTAAAATAGGATGATGAAGATTGTGAATAAATATGGTAAAAATCGCCTCAAGCTTCGCTTTGATTCAATTTCCTTTAGATCATCGAATAAGATTTTCTCTTCGGGATTCACGTCGGTTACTTTGTCTAAAAGGGCTATCCCGTGACTCTATCTTGTATACCGAACACACAAGGCAATCTTTGATTCTGGCTTCGATAATTGATTCTAACGACATCAATTGTCGTAGATCAATTACCGTTTAAGTTCGTAGCGTCCGACTCGGATTGTTACTTCTATAACCGTCAATTCCGATCTCAATTCCCTCTTGGCGAAACTATCTCGCCAAGTGTGTTCCCACGAAGTCGAATTGCTTTCTATAAGCCGAATCTTCCTCCCACACATTTTATCGCAACAACCTCTTAACCAAAGTCAATCTTTGATTTTGAAACCTGTTTTGATTTTGAAAAATAAGCGCAGAGATTGAGAGAGATATTCCGAAGATATTAAGGGACCGTTTTAATTCTCCCGTTGAAATTGAATCATCGCGACAGCTCTCGGCTTTTGAAAAGTTTAGCTAAGCATGAAAAAAGTCATACTTAACATTTTGAAAACAAAGCTTGAAAAAAAAAGAAAAACTTGAAAAGTAAAAAGAGAACTTTAATAAAACTATAGAAAAAATAAGAATGTAATTTGAGTGATGAGTTTAGGCTTACCCCAAGTGTGTATTTATAGCCTCTCAAAGCCTAAAGGATAAACAAAGAAAATAAATAAAATAATCATAAAGATAATTATTTTTAATTTAAATTCAAACTTAAACTAGTCTCCTAATGCAACTCTGCTCGTCAATCTTCCAGAAGGCGTGCGGAGGAAGTCTTCTAGAAATCGTCGCTGACTGGACCTTCTAGAAACTGCCACGTCAGACCGAGTCGTGCCCATGTCTCCAACCGTGACCAAATAATAAAAAAAATACAGAATTCGCTCGTTTTGTCACAAATTCTGGAAAGCAATGACCTGTATAAAAATAAGTATAACACGACCAATTTAGCAGCAATAATTCCACAAAATCGAAGAAATAACAAGCAAAGATTAACGATTTTGAACACTCATCAAATTCCCCCTCACTTATATCATGCTTGTCCTCAAGTATGATTAATCAAACTAGTCAAAAATTTCATTTACCGTTGTTTGTCAAGTTTCACATTCAATGAAACAAGGTAGAGACCACAATAACTATTCAAGTCAAGAAATCAATCAATTGAACATCATCAATTGGAGCAAGTCAAGTGCAATTGTAATATCATTCATTCATTAATCTCAATGCTCATAACTCAACACCTTACCGGGATTCACTCAAATCACTCGATGTGTTTGGGGTAAAGAAACTCTCAATGTCAGAATTGACACGGTATTACCATAAGCCTGCAAGTAAATCAAATCTTCACTACTAATAAGAACAAAATGCATAAATCAAAGGGTCTTTTATTGGTTGTAACGAGGCTTAGGTAAAGATGGGGAAAATGCTAAAAATTCAAGGCAATGAACTGACAAATAATAATTTCAACTCCATCAAAACATTAAGCACAACAAGATAAAAGACGACATATCAAACAACAAATTTCTTGTCGAAATGCATTTTTTTCTTTTTCACACTTTTGTTGTTTTGTTTTCTATTTTTATCTTTCATGTCTTTTTTTCTCTCTCTTTTTCTTTCGAACATCCTTTTTTTTGAACTGTTTTTTTTTCTTTCTTTCATTCAACATTTGTTTTTCAATGGAGGATACAACAACAAAATTATTCACTTGCCCTGAAAAAGGTAGAAAAGAGGGATAAAATAAAAAGACTCGGGTTTATGAATATGGTGAAAACAAAGAAACGGGAATATGCTCAAAAGTGGTTAGCTAAGGGGAAAATACATAGGTAGGCTTTTTAGTCGGGAAACAGAATGGTTAATCCTAAGGTGCCCAAATCATCTTTAAGCATCATGTTCATATGTAATCTCGACAGTATTTAACATGCAGGTTCTAGAATACCAATGCCAAATTCGACACACTCAATCCAACAAAATGCGAGCGAAAATGATATGCTCGTAAAGGCTCAAATCTCACCAAATTGTTTCATGCATTGAGCTAATCACATTTCAACAAACGAAGTCATGGAATATCACAAAAACACCAACTTATCACAATTCATGCTATTCGCTATCAATAATATCCTAACCTAAGCAATTATGTGTTCCCAAATAAGCATAGCAATCCAAAAAATTTCAACATGGCAAAGACAATCAATGAAATTTCCGATCAATTCAACCAACATATACTAGATTCAAAGCATAAACATAAGCGAAAGGAAATTTAATCCTACACTCTACTCCCCCTCACTTAAAGCGTTTTGCCTCAAAACGAAAAATTAAAGTGCAAGAGAAGGAATAGAGTACTCCCTGGATCTAGTGTCGACCACGACCATGGTGGGAGGTGAAGAAGTGAATGGCTCGGGTTTGATGCCGTGAGCTGAAGCATGGTCAGGTTGTATCGTCAGTGGAAAATCAGGTTTTAAATCCTCTGTAAAACCGTAAACCAGATGGAACATTAGTAATAGTTGAATGAGATATGATCAAAATTTACTTCAGGAGTATTTTCCGATGTCGCCGAATGCATTGATAGTTGTGGAAAAAAAAGAAGTAGTGACTACGGTTGGCGTAGACTAGAAGGATAGTGATGGAGAGCGCGACAGAGATGGATAACGAACAGTGCTAGATCCGGGTGGAGGAGTTGCGGCGTTGCCCAATTGGTTTCGCACCATTGTGGAGTGGACAGGTTGAAACACGTTAGCACGAGCGTAATGGTTTGGTAAGGTCAGCGACGGTGAGAACAGGAAGAAACAATGGTGTTTTTGAGGAAGGAAAGAAGTGTTTTGAAAAGGTTTGGTGATTTTTGTTTTCTGTCGTAGGGGGATGTTAGAGTTGGAGGTGAATTGGATTTTGATTTTTTTAATAGGATAAAAGGGAGTTTAAAAATTAAAAGGTGATAGAGATAGGGATGGTGGGATCCATTTGAAAGAGAAGAGATAATTGAGGAGTGGTGGGCGGCAGAAAGATAATCAAAAGGGGGAAAGAATTTTCATATGGGTTTTGCTAACATGCGCTGACCTTCAAAGGGTTGTGCTAACGTGCATCGACCTTCAAAGGGTTGTGCTGACGTGCGTCGTTTAATGAAAAGGTGTGCACGGGTCTTTCCTTGTTCCACTGTTCTGCGTTTTTTTACCAATGTTCCCGGGGTTCCGAAATTGGCATTATTCGACTGAATTTGCCGCAATGCTTCGTCGT